CAGACTTCGATGATGGCTCAGGTCCAGACTTCGATGATGGCTCAGGTCCAGACTTCGATGATGGCTCAGGTCCAGACTTCGATGATGGCTCAGGTCCAGACTTCGATGATGGCTCAGGTCCAGACTTCGATGATGTCACCGTCCTCCATGTCCAGCTGCGCCGGCGTCTGGCCCGCCGTCACCCTGGAGCCGTCGAACTGGAAGCAGACGTTCCTCCGGACGTCAGTGGAGGCGTGGCTCAGGTACCGGGAGAAGACGGAGCCGAGCGGCGCCTCCTGGAACAAACGCAGGTTCTGTTCAGAGAAACAAACAGCTGTGACGACAGGAAGGGGCGGAGCTACTGACTCTGTGGATAGAGAACTCCTGAGACGAGTCTCGGTCTTTGCTCTGCAGTTTGATGATGATGCTGCTGTCGTCTTCGTCCTCTGCTGCCATGACGACGCACTCTAAACACAAAACAACAATCAGACACGTTCTGGTTCTGGTTCTGGTTCTGGTTCTGGCCGTCACGTGACTCACCGATGATGTCAGTGATGCCGAGGCCGAGCTGGCCCACGGTGCAGTCTGTGGGCAGCTCCACGTCGTTCCTCAGCAGGAGGAGGCGAGGGGGCGGGACCTCCAGGATGATTGACAGCTCYTTCACCACACAGTGTATCTGTGTTGACTGTAAACAAACAAACAACTTCCTGTTTATTGTTTACTTCAGCTCCTCACCGGGACACAAACACAGAGCGTACCGACTGAACCGGGATCTTGTGGACGTCTGTGCGGCAGCGGATCTTCAGAGGGATCTCCCGGGCCGGGTCAGAACCGTGCTGCAAGGGTGGGCTCATGATGATGACATCATCATCAGGGTCCTCCTGCTCCAGTCCAGGCGGTGCGGTTCTGTGAGTCCTGGACCTCCTGCTCTGAGGTTCTGGAGACAGGATGGAGCTGACGGCCTGGAGCCTCCTGTTGACCTCACTGAAACATCAGAACCAGAACTCAGACCGGTTCTGATCCACTTTAACTGTTTTACAAGTGCCGACCCAGAACTAATGATCCTAACTGGACCGGACCAGAACTAGTGATCCTAACTGGACCAGAACCAGTGATCCTAACTGGACCGGACCAGAACTAATGATCCTAACTGGACCAGAACCAGTGATCCTAACTGGACCGGACCAGAACTAATGATCCTAACTGGACCGGACCAGAACTAATGATCCTAACTGGACCAGAACCAGTGATCCTAACTGGACCAGAACCAGTGATCCTAACTGGACTTCAGTCCTAAAATAACCTGTGGTTTCATCCAAACCCAGACTGACTTGATCTTCTGAGTGACCTTCCTGGAGCGTTTCTGGACGGGACTCTCTGGAGGGGGCGGAGTCAGGCAGCGGGGTTCTTCTCTGTGACAAACAGGAAACAGGAAGTGGTGAGGAAGACTCTGCATGTCAATCATCAGGCAGCTCTTCTGACTCACGCTGGTTCCGTCCATTCATGCTGAGAAAGTTCTGCGTCGTCCTCAGAGTCGCTGAGCGCCGCCACAGGCAGCGGCGCCACGCGAGGGGAAAACTCCGCCCACAGACTGTCATCAGCGCCATCGTCTGGTCGGACAGGAAACAAGGTCAGGCTGAGGAAGACCAGGAGCTGTGAGACGCTCCTCAGGTCCTACCTGTGCTCTCCTCACAGAGCAGAGCTGCTGTCGGCTTCAGCTGCAGACTGCTGCTCACCTGGACACACAGCAGCACAGGTGAGCCACACAACAAACAAACAAATAAACTAACAAACAACAAAAACAAACAAATAAACAACAAACAAAGAGATTTAAAGCCCACCTTGTTGGAATAAACTGGAACAGGAACGACTGCTGATGGGTGGAGGACACGTCTACGTCTAACTGAGGGCTTCACCTGAACACACACACACACACACACACACACACACA